AATTATTTTAAATTATTTAAATAAGTATTTTATATTCAACAAATTTAAATTATTATTAATTATTTCATTTGTAATAATTTCTAATATTTACATTTTTTAATTACTGACTGAATCCAAAATAAATGAGAGCGATGTCATCATAACATTTTGGACTGTGGATTCCAGCTGGTATTCTTTGATGTTCCTATTGGCATAATGAATTATCTTTGGTCTTGTCTTGCTTGCTTAGTGTCAAGACAACAATAGAGCTTCCTTCCCCAGAACCAAAGCCTGAAATATGAACACTCTTCTTTTGCCGCCTTGCAAGCACTGTTTTCTTTTTTTCTTGAAATGCATATTTAGTTTGATGAAATGAAGCGTTAAATTCTCTGTAATCTTACCATTTATCTTAGTAACAGGAGAAGTGTAGTCAATCTGATCTACAGCCGTGATGAATGCCTCTGGCAGGGCATCCTTTACCGGGACAACCACAGACATCAATTATTCAGACTTGTCATTAACATTTAAGTAAAACAGTTGTTCATTTTTCCACATTACTATTATTATTTTTTACACTGGACTAATAAAAATAAGTTCAATGGGATTCTTAATGTTTTGTCTGTATATATAGATATTTAATCCTTCTCTAAACTGAACTAACTCAAATGTGGACAGTGTTGCCGGTCAAAGAATAGGGTCACTCCTTGAGTAAACACAGATAAAGTGACTCTAGCTCAAGGCCACAACAAAGTGTTGAAAGAATAGGATGACATTAACTGTGAATGAACTGTGAATCACTTTTAAACATCTAAAAACGAGCAGAACTGTCACCGACTCGGGACTTCAGGTCTGTACCTGTGGTGTGAGCTGTTTGAAGGTGATGTAGGGAGTGGCGTTGGACAGAACCACTTTACTGTGGACTTCAGTTCCATCTGTCAGCACAACGCCCTTGGCAGAACCATCCTGACCAATAAGGACCTGTTCAACGTCCTACAGGCCCCCAGGAAAGCCACAGATTAATATCCGTGAGACAGCCGGTTCTTTTGAATAAATGTGCCATTCACAGAAACAACGGTTACACCTACTTCCTGAATACTAACCCTGTTTGTGAACATATCTGCTCCGAGAGAGCGGGCGGAGCGGGCGATCGATTGAGACACTCCACCCATTCCTCCCTCCACGTAACCCCAGGCACCTTTCTCTTTCTCCAGCTCACCCATGACATGGTGCAGCAGGACGTATCTACAAGATTGAGCATACAGTCTCCACAATAACATACAGTGTCCACAACAACAATCACAACATATTCTGAATCTGTTTGAACACATAAATGTCAAACTATCCTCACCCACTTCCAGGATTATTTGGGCTTGTGTTTGCACCAATCACAGAGTCTGTGGCTAACGTGGCTCTCAACGGCTCTGATTCAAACCAGCGATTGAGCACCTACACAAAAAAAAATATACAAAAATGTCAACCAAAATTTAAAAAATGGATGAATTAAATGAATTAAAAATGAAATTTCAACCAAAAAAAGCTTGTAATGCCAAATTCAGGTCATGAATCACATCCTCAAACCCACAAATAGTTAGCCTAATTTCTTAGGCAATGCTCATAATGCCAAAAATGAATTATTCATATTTAGAAGTGTATTTGATCCATTTTCAGATAAAACTTTAAATACACAGTATTGTTTTTTTTTAAAGACATCTCTTGTGCTCACCTAGGCTGCATTTATTTGATCAAAAATACAGTAAAAACAATAATATTGTGAAATATTATTATGAGTAAAATAACTGTTTTATATTTTAATATATTTTAAAAAGTAATTTATTCCTGGGATAAAAGATGACTTTTCAGCAGCTATTTCAGTCTTAGTGAGCATAAGACATTTCATTCAAAAACATTTAAACAAATCTAAATTATTCCAAACTTTTAACCACCAGTGTATTGCAGGCAACAATAAAGTTGCCATTCTACAGTGGCAGATGTGTTT